GAGAGAGAGAGAGAGAGAGATAGAGAGAGAGAGCGAGGGGAGAAACAGAAAGACAGACAAATAGACAGAGAGAAAAACACAGAGAAGCAAATTGGAGGATAAGATAATGTGACATTCGTTGCAAACAGCCAAATGAAATGGGATTACGAAATCAGTCAAGCTACAGCTAGTAATCTAGTAAATCAGTTGTTTGTAAACATTGTGCTTCCCCATTGAATGATGCAGGCTCCAGTGGCTACGTGAGTAGTGAGTTTAGTCTCAAATGTAATGTCAAGCAAGTTTCGTTGGGTACAGATTGGTGGTCACTGGGGTGTGCATTGAGCAAGACATGGCGACCCTAGCTAAAAACAAAACAAACCCAGGGCGCTGCACAATGGCAAGCAGCAATGGCATGTCGATGAAATTATTGTGTATTGGTGTAATATTGGGTAAACGTATGCCTTTATGTATGAATAACTATGTATTTGTGTTTGGATGTTTGCCATTGTAATCTAAGTATACCCACGGGATCAATAAAAAACGTAGTTTATCATTTTATTATTTATTGTTAAAAATAAAATTGTCTCGAAGTAAAAAGATTTCAAGGTTACCCAGACCCTAATGAAAAATCCCAAGCGGAAAGACAGAGTTAACCAATCACAGACTTCTTTATCTTATAATCGAATTCATATCTTTTGCATAGAAGGCAATGGTCCTCACCATTACACCACAGACATTGGTCTTCTAAAGTGGTCATAAACTGTAAGAGAGCAAATCTTTAAATACCCTCAGCACAAATCTGTTGTATTAGCTTTGTTCCGACCAGACTTTCAGGTGTTCCAAACATCTCATCCGTCTTATACAACCTCGACACTTTTGTGCATGCGTCGTGGTGCGTTCATCTTTCATTGAAACACACACAAGCCATGATGTAGACTGACGTAGCCACGCTAACAAATGACCCCTCTAGTGCTTGCGTCCAGGGAATAAACCTGTCACAGGTTTCTACGTCCGACTGTCATAGGTATTCCGTCGACCGTCCCAACACCCTCTTTGGCGCTGGCCAGTCTACCAGGCACACTGCCTCTGGCAGATCATTTATATCATTCTTCTACTTTTCTTTTCTCCTCGTCCTGACTTCTCTTTGTCTTTAATTTATTGGCTATTTTCGGAGAGACATTTATAACATTAGTGGTTTTACAGTGACGGGACTTTTTGGTCACGGCCACCCAAGCAAGGTCGATTTAGGTCACGGTGGGTAGGGCTTCTTTGGGGAGGGGGAAGGGGTCGTTTGGATGAAAAGAGGATTGGGGGTCGTAGGGAGGGAATGAGAAAAGCTGTGAGTGATCTGGCGCCGAATGTCCGTCAAAGGTCATGACAAGCTTTTGGGTCAGCTCGACAGATCTGTGTGATCTTGGCCGTGGATTCTGTTTTCATTTATCCTTCCACAAAAACAAAAAAGCCCTGCATCTCCTTTGCTCAGACAAGAGTGGAAAAGAGAAAGAAC